TTTCTCATACTAATAAAATATGAAGTAATAAATGATGAGGAGTGGTACATAAAATAAATTAAGAAATAATATGATATACTCCGTAATACACTATAACATATGAAGTACCAACTTCGGAAGCAAATGAAGAACAGAGTGCGCAGGGATGGAGGTTGACCTACGACGCAAAGATGGAGGTAGTAATAAATGATGAGGAGAGTGGTACAAAAAATAAAGAGAAAAGGGTCAAATAAGTCCTCCTACTATTACGAAAATGTCAATTAAGTCCACGAACTCAAATAACACCCAATTAAACTCATGAATCGTTAAAAATGAGGCAAATCATCTCTTAAGCAGTGCCCTTCGGGTTAAGTTTCCCATGTGGTGTATGACGTGGCATAAATTTTCATTTTCTTTTTCTTTTCATTTTCATTTTCTTCTTCCTTTTCCTTCTTTCTCTCTAGCGCCATTCTTCTTCCCTCTGTTTCTGCAACCTCACGCACAACTTCACCCCTTCCTCCATCTTCTTCTACTCACTTTATTCTCCTCTTTTCTCTTTCTTATCACTCCTATCGGTTGTCGGACGACGCTCCATCACTCAAAGTCCGAGGGAACCAAGGTCGCCGGAGACGCTCAAGTACCCATCGCACGCCGGTCACCTCCTTGCTGGTCGGTCGTTCCCTTCTCATGAGTCGATGGCTTGGAAGTCGGGGAAGGTACTCCGTTGAAGCTTCAATTCGGACGGTGCTCCATGAGACCTCCAGGCCACTTCCAGATCCCAGCTTCAATTTGGCCAGTGACCATAGATGGTAGCGGAGAAGAGGAGGATGAAGTGAGGTTGGGAAAGTGCGAGTAGAGGGACTGGGGTGAGAAGAGAACGGGGAAAGAATGACAGAAACCAAAAAATTGAAAAGGACGAAGAAGTTGCAGTGCGATGATGAGGCCCAGTGAAGAAGGGGTGCGGGAAAGAGAAGGAAAGAAAAAGAAAAAGAAAAGAAAAAGGAAAAGAAAAAGAAAAAAGAAAATAAAATAAAAAATGCCACATCAGACACCACATAAGCAATTTAACCGGAAACCGTGATAATACCTGTTAAAAAGAGTATTTGACTTTTTTGTGTGATTCGTGGGTTTGATTGAGTGTTGTTTCAGTTGAGGGGTTCAATTGACATTTTTGAACTAGTAGAGGGGTTTATTTGACAGTTTCCTCAAAAATAAATAAATTAAGAAATATTATAATATACTCTGTAATACACTATAACATACGAAGTACCAACGTCGGAAGCAAATGAAGAACAGAGTGCTCAGGGATGGAAGGTTACCTACGACGTAGAGATGGAGGTCAACTAATGATACAGACCTGAGTATGGAGGCCGTCTTACACTCGTCGCAGGGAAGAGAAATTCAGTGAAGAAAGTAGCGACACACCTGAGTAGGGGACTCAAAGGTGATTTAGCCCTAACTTTGAAATGACACACCTTCACCGCTTACGAGTCGCCAATCCTATACGTTTTTACGATTGTCCGAGTTTACTCGGCGATTCATCCAATCCCTTCTGATTTACGATTCGCAGGGCAAACGGAATTACATTCTTATACTCAGATCGTTGAATCGTACGATCTTACGAGTAAGGTCACAATTTTAACTACCATGATGACAACCAGATTTGGCTCTGATTTCATGTTAGAACCTGGGTTTCACCCTTAAAGGTCAACCCTGATACAAGGAGTAACTCAAAGCCTTATAAAGTGTTTTATTGTTTTATAGCTTTCTTGTGTGGAACAATTACTTAAACATGCCATATATGTCATATGGCGATACAAAGCCTCTTCGCTACAAAAATTCCTCATGGCAATGATTCTCTACTTGATGAAAATCACAATAGTAAAAGGAAAAATAGATGTCGATTGAGAATAAAATACTGAAACGGTAAAGAAGGAAAACAAATTGATACTCTTCGAGAGGTCTCATTCTCCCAATTCCTACTAATTTCCTACCTCCCTTATTCTCCCCCCTACCTGTTCTTATAATACACTCTCCTTAAGGGCCGGCCCTCAACTAAGTTACTAGGCCTAGAACCCTATTATTGAACAATACTAAAATACATAATAAGAATCTCATTATTAGTAGTGTCCGGATCCCTATCATCACTCCCCCTTGAACTTGCACCTTGTCCTCAAGGTAGATGATAAGAAACTGTTCTAACATTTGGCTTCAACAGATTTTCTGCTACATCCAGTTCAGACAGCTATGCATCTGGTCTTTTCTCCTCTTGTAGACCTTCCATAAGGACAAATTGATAATGTTTCATTCTGGAAACATGTTATTTACTCCATTTGTCTCCACATTTGAAACACAGGCCCTTTCTACTTCTTTCTTCTAGCTCTGCTTGTGACAATCTTTTGCCTCCCTCCCATGTTTGGTTCAGTTTTGGTTCTTCCTTGCCTCCTTGGTTTTAATATCGGCCAAAACCTTCTCAGTGATGCTGGTATTATTTTGGGCATGTTTCCACTAGTTCCCTTCTATCCACTGTTGAGGCTTGGATACAACCCCCCCCCCCCCCCCCCCCCCCTCTTTTCTTTCCATATTCCCTTGTCTCCATACTTGCAGCCTCTTATTCTCAGAGCCACATTCTTTTCTTCCGGTAATTGAGCACGGTCCATCAGTTCGGTCAAACTTTGTGCAGGATACAGCTTGAGTTCTGCTTTGATCTCGTCCTTTTGATCTCCTCCTTTAGGCCATCGATAAAAATGCCTTTAAGCATTTCATTGTCAATGCTTCGGAGGGGGCTACGACCAGCTCAAATTTTTCCCGATAGTCCATGACTGATCCTATCTGCTTCACACTAAGAATAGGACCGAAGGGATTTTGCACCATCCTCGGTTGGTGCAAAATGGTCTTTTCCTTAAAAATTTTCCTTGGTCTATTCCTCCCACCATTGGTACCGGTTTAAAGCTTTCTCCTCCATTGCCACTACCACCATCTCTATTTTCTGTCTCCTTAACTTGATTCAACTGGAAAAACCATTCCACCCGAATGATCCAGGCATGTGCATCTTTCCCGTTAAAAACAGGTAACTCGGCTTTCCTTCCAGAACGAGCATAACACCTATTTACTGTAGGTTCCAGAGTAAAGGACTGTTAGAATGACCCCTGATATGCGACGATTTCACACTTTCCTCCCGGCGATGATGCTTAGACACCCGCGACCGTCCTCTTATCCTATGGCAATCACCGTGTAACATCAGATTCTTCAGTTCGGCCGCCGTCTCGTGCAAGCCAAGCAGTTCGTTCACGGCAGTTTTCACTTCCGCTAAGGTGTGTTCTAGGTTTTCCACATGTTGCTCCATTCTCGATCGAGTAAAGACCATGTGCAGGTATAGCGACCGTCACTCGCTTTGATACCAAATGATAAGAACCAGAATAGTAAAAGGAAAAATAGATGTCGATTGAGAAGAAATACTGAAACGGTAAAGAAGAATAACAGATTGAGACTCTTCGAGAGGTATTGCTCTTCCAATTCCCAGTCTGACTAATTCTCTGCCTCCCTTATTCTTTTACCTACCCGTTCTTGTAATAACACTCTCCTAAAGGACCGGCCCTCAACTAAGTTACTGGGCTTAGAACCCTATTATTGAACAATACTAGAATACATAATAAGATTCTCATTATTAGTAGTGTCCTGATCCCTATCATCTACACATGGCGGCGCTGTATTAGCGCCATCACCATGACATGTGCGCCATATTCTAAACAGATTTTAAAAGTTCACTTGGTTAGTTCTGGGCTCTGGGCTTGATAATTTATTAATCAACCAGTCTGCCCATTATATTAGTCGGTTGAAGTACTATTACTTAATTATTAATAATAAATTAATAATAATTTGTAGAGAATAAAAAACACGCTCCGTAGGTATTGGACCTATGCTGTTAGGTTTTGGGGACCCATGTTCTATACAAATCCTAATGAGAAGTAAATACAAACACCAGCTGTGCAAGAGGGGAAGGACTAAAGGGCAACAAGCCAACCACAACACATTGACGGTAAGACGAAGATGAGACGGATAAGATTGAAGATCCGCTTGGCAGTGAAATGAATGAGGATGACATTCCATTGTTATCAGATTCAGATCCAAATGATGATGATGATGATGATGATGATGAGTGTGATAATTGATGATGATTATATCATATTTGCAATATAATAATCAAACACAAACAAGTTGACATATTATGGAAGGCATGAAACACATTTTTATCTGTACCATATATTTATCTTTCATTTATTTTTCTTATATTTATTTTTATCTTATCATTTTTATCTTACCTTATCTTTTTATCTCTCATCTTTCTTTTCTTTTTGACCCCGATATCATGTATCCATTCATGTTAGCTGACCACAAAATCTTTTGTGACTAAGACTTAGATGTTGATGTTTTGGTTAGAATGTGGGTATTTGACTTTTTTGCTCATCTTTTGGTGGTTGAATCATAGGTATATAGTGTTTATAGTTCATGTTTTAGTATTTATTTTTGTGTCATGTGGCGACGCTATAAATGTGTCATTGGCGTGGACAAATGCCTTGGCGCCTTGACTGTCGCCTTACGCCCTTACGTCATGACAACTATGGGGATCACGACTATTTTTGTAGTGGAAAATTAAATATTACTTCATCCGTCCCAAATTGATTTGCCATTTTTTATTTTAAGGTTTTTTGGCGATAAAGTTACATCTTCTATGTGAATAGTTAACTAAAATTTATATATTAAGAAACTACATTAAAAGTTCTATAAAGTCACTAAATTCAAATTAAAATGTAATAAAAAATCAATATCTTAAATGAAGTACATAAAATCAAATTGTGATGACAAATAATTAGACTTTACAAAACATTTTGGGACGGAGGAAGTACAAGGTTGTAGTCCAAGTAAGCATTTCTTACTGGTCTTTTGGTAAAAAAGGTTGTAGCCAGTAGGTTTTAAATCTAAAGAAATCAGTAACCGAGGCTAATAATTCATTGTATTAGGTACATGGTGCTTGGCTTCCACCTTGGCTTGCAATTCATTTAATACACTACCAGGTACATTGTAGAAAGTTATGAGGAGTAATTCTTATTTATATGGATGTTTGACTAAATCATTAACTTGCAGGCGATATGGGAGAAGCACTGGCAGAAAAACATAAAACCTGCTATGAATGTAGTGCTTCAAAAGGTACCTTTGCATTGTGAGTTTGCTAGTAAACCTTAAAACACCGGTCCATCAAGCTGGTAACTTACCCCATTTATCCGTCATGGATACTTTTCAGGCCATTGAGAAAAGGGCCCAGACTGAAGCATGGACTGCACCTCACTTGGAAACAATCAGAACTGTAAGCTAAATCCATGTTATTAGTTTTATTGTACTTCTGCTTTACAGTATACTTTTAAGAAAAAAGTATGCTATTTTTTTGAGTTATCCTAGAAGTACATACACTCTTGCTGAAAGTCTTACAAAAGAGACATATGATAGCATCATGTTATTTTAACACAACAGTACATCACACTACTTTTACAGTAAAGGTATATAACAATATTCACATCACATGTTTGTAAGTTTTTTATAAGTTTGTTTGTACTTATAGCATTTTCCAAACTTTTTACATAAATATCAAGGTAATACATAGCCTACTGGCCATTTTGAATTCAAATGCAACGAGTCATGCCAAATAAAACAAGTGGTCCAGCAACAAAAGCAACATCCAAGCCTCAGTCCCAAAAAGAGTTCAGATTTGGCTAACATGAATCGACACATTAAATCGGAATTGAAAAGATAAGAAAGATAAGAAACTAGAAAGATAAAAATAAGAAATATAATAAGATAAGGTAAGATAAAAAAGATAAGATAAAGATAAGTTTAAGATAAAGATAGAAATGATAAGATAAAGATGATAAAAAGTACTACGTAGATAAAAGGGATAAAAGGATAAAGAACATTAGAAAGATAAAGAAGTTAAAAGATAAAAGGATAAAAAAGATGAAAAGAGATCAATCCTCCACACAAATATTCTCCCTCTACTTTGTTCTATCCAAAGTTATACCCTCATCCAACTCTAGAAGAAACATATCACTTCTGACTCCTCTAGTCCATGATTGTTTGGGTCTTCCTCTTCCCCTCCTTGCACACACATTATCTTGATATTCCTCCTCATTACCTCAACTACTTCAGATGGTCTTCCTGTAAGAGACCAAACGTTCCATGTCCAAAGCGCATTCTAGAACTTCCCCATCTCTAAACACCATCTCGACCCCTATCATGCCCCTACATATTTGAAACCATCCCTAAGCATTGGGGTGACTACATAATGACATATCAACCTTATCATTCTTATCACCACACTCGGGCCAATGAAATGTAGTGCGCTCTTGGATATTTGACACCACCCCCGGGTAGGAGAATGACACGTCGCGTATGGGCAGCAACCTAGTTGTACTGATATAAATATTTGGATTCATATCATGTGATCTGACTAAGTGACGTTGCTGGCAGTTACATGCTCACCACAACATACTCCTCCTTTATCCTGGCTTAGGACAAACATGATTACAAAATGATCTCATGGCGGAGTTAATGAGTTAATTTTAGTTTTGGTCCCACGAGTATTAGGTCATTCCTATTTTTGGTCCTAACTTTCATTTTCCCACTTTTTGGTCCTATGACCGTAGATTTTGTTTTTCACATATGGTCATTGCGGTCATTTTGTGGTTAATTCCCATACAGTTGCGGATTAATTCTACAGGCGAAGTGACTTGAAGGACCCCAACTGACAAAAATTGTATCCGTGGGAGCAAGTGGAAAAATTAAAGTGTTGGACCAAAACTAGGAACGATAATAGTCGTAGGACGAAGAGCATAAAGAATTCTTGGTTAATCAGCATTCTACAATGTACATGGTAATTCATTATGTTTAATTTATCGCTGTTAACCTGAACTTGCTGTTTTGCCCGTTCTTATTAAGAAATGGGCCCCGCGTGTGAAAGAACAATGGCTTTTAATGGCCACATATGTTGAACCACATCTTCACTCTCTAAAGATAAAAGTTCTTGAAACGTATGCAAGCTCCAAGGATGCATTTACCCCACATATACTCAAGGTTCAGGAAATTGCAAACCCCTATTTTCAGGTATTGGATTTGTGGTCAAACATGCCTCTCTAACTTACCCCCTCCCCCCCTTGATGGTGCTATATGTTTGATACTCATAGACTATATCATTTATATTGCCAGCACATTCGAAAATTCAGCAAGCCATACATTGACCAGCTAGCCTCTAGAACAAGACCTCATGTGGAAAAAGCACGTCTTGCTGCAAAACCGTACACAAAGAAGGCAGTTCATGTTTATAAAAAATTCCTGGAGTCTGCCACCACATACCACCATCAGGTAAATATGAAGCATCTTTCTTTTGGATCTCAATATTAAATGCAGAAAGCTAGTTCGCTACCAGAACACCAGAGGTGCCTCAGGGTATTGTATCCCGAGTTTATGAGCAGTGGTATACGTGGCCGAAAGAATTGCAGAGGTGTATGTATCTTTGCAGTGCTGGTTACTGACTTATTGATTCTCTACTATGGTAATTATTATTGCCACCCAAAGCACATGTTTCTGCAACTGTAGCTCTTCTGTCTTCTCTGGGTAAATAGGATATTCCACTTTTGGTCTTTTGACTATAATGTTTTCTCTAGATTTTTCCCTCCTTAAAAACCAACCAAAATATGGTACCTAACTATTAATAGGTTTCCACTTCGGGTTATCCACTAGGGCTTCAGCTATATGAGCAACAGTTTGAGGGATATAAATAAAGAAAAAAACTTTTAGATGACGTTGTGAACGAACCAATAGCACCTCACATGGGATTGAGATGAAGTCCAAACAAAAAGTGTATAATTTTAAAAGTGAATATTGAAATTCAAACCAGTAAAACATGAAGGAAACAAACATTTAAATGGCATTGCGAACAAATAAATAACACCTCACATGGGATTAAGATTTAAGATGAAGTCCAAACAAAGTGTATATTTTTAGAAGTGAATATTGAAATTCAAACCAGTAAAACATAAAGGAAACTAGTGCCGGCTGAAGATGTTTATCGTTATATCCTTCAAATTGAGCATCAGAAAACCAAAACCGTAATAGGGGACTAAAATAGTGGGAACTTTTAAAGATGTGAGTGTACTAAAAGCTGGTTGGTGTTAAAGACGATGTTCTATAATGCACTGAAACACAGAAAGCATAGGGACACGTGAAACAGGACATGTCAACTTTCGGTAGAAAATCAAGTGCTTGTAGAGTTCACGAAACACACGGATACTCTTTCAAGGAAAAACACTAAAGTTGAAGGGTCAAAAGTGGAATAATCTCTCTGCATTATGTCCCAACTCATCAGATGCACTCCATCTCTCCCCCCTAACAGTGAATAGTGTTGTAGAGAGAGGTGTCATATGGCTCTGGTTATTGTTATTGTGTCAATAGAGTTTAGTGTCTTTCACTTGAGGATTTCTTTGGTATAAGTGTAATTCAGAATAATACGAGCGTAATTATGGCAACCAGTGTATGAGCAAATATTCCATTGATTCTGTAATGTGAAGCTTCAAAGCAATGTCCAAGACACACTGAAGAGACATGAACTCACGAGTCCTTTTGCGACAAAGGAGCTAATCTGGTTTGCTGTATGTATCGGTTTGCCACATCCAACACATTAGCTTTTACTTTTCTTCACTCTTATATGTTTTCCAGGCGCTGTTGAATCATTGTGTTTGTAATTGTGCCATGCTGTTTTTTAAATTGTTGTAGGCCTCTGCTATGCTGGCTTTGCCAATCTTTCTTTTGTTCAAAGTTTTCTCTGCCATTTTCTGGTGAGCAATTCATTGTTAAGAAAGTCTTTTAGCATACTTGTTGCATTTTTTTGTAAGACTAAAGTAGATGTTTTCTTTTGCTATTTGAAAAATACCCATCTGCCCAGGGCTAAACCATCCAACAGAAGTGGTAGCACACACCGTTCCCGTCGTAGGTCAAAACGTGGACATCAACCAGAGAAATAAGGGAGTTGTTGGATGTTTGTTTGAAAGTCACATGTATGAGTTTTATTTATTATAGTACTTGTCCAATAATATATTTCTAATATGTAATGATTATTATAATACATATTCCGGTGTTTTGTTTGAACCTCTCTGGTTAAGTTTCTTAAATTATTATTTCTTGCAGACTTGCTTGAACCTTGAATTCAATGGTCTTCTGCCTCTCTGTGTGTGTGGGGCTGAAATTTTTTTATTTGCATCTTTCTTTGAGCAAGGTTTGTAGAGAATGTAGCACTCCCACTTCAGACTTCTGTGCCCTGTGGTATGTATTATGTAATATATTTACTGTTTGTATATACTATTTACAATGGACCACTTAACAATATGCAACATGTGACAATATTTTTGTAACATCTTCGAAACAACGGGAGCAGTATATATTAAATAGAAAATAAATTTCCAAAAAAATATAGTTGTTGGCCACTTGGCCTCTATTTATCACCGCTGCTGTAAATATGTATTTATCAATTATCATGGTTCGTAGAGGTTTCCTATTAAAGGCTAAACATTTAAAGACCTGACCAACACCCTCACAGGTAGTGGTGGACTTGGTTCGGGCCGGGCTCGGTTCGGGCCTAGAACCGGCCGGGCCTCGGTTCAAGGAAGGCCGGCCCGGATAACCCCGGGTCCGGTTCGGTTCGGGTCACCCGCCCGGTTCACGGGCCGCGCCGCCCGGCGGGCCGGGCCTTTTAATTTTTTTAATATATTATAGGGAAAAGGGGCAAATAAGGTCACGTACTAACCAAAAAAGGTCAAATAAGACCTTATTTATGAGGCTCTGTCCAACCTTCGCCATTTGGGGTGGTTCTCGGTGGAATTTTTTGATTAACTTTTTTGACCATCTTATTCATTAAATCTAGTTACTCATACCAAATTTCAGATAACAATTTAATCGAGAAGGCATTCAAATGAATTCTTGAAGATAACTGCGCTTTTAACTGCGCAATTATCTTCAAGAATTCATTTGAATGGTTTCCCGATTGAAGTTTTAGCTTAAATTTGGTATGAGTAAACTAGACTTACTGAATAAGATGCTAAAAAAAATTCATCAAAAAATTCCACCGAGAACCAACCCAAATGGCGAAGGCCGGACAGAGTCTCACAAATAAGGTCTTATTTGACCTTTTTTTTATTAGTACGCGGCCTTATTTGCCCCTTTTCCCTATATTATATAATTAGAATAATTCTTATTACAATTACAATATATTATATTCGAATTGAAGTATATTTATTTCAAATAAGAAGTACAATTGAGAATTAGGATGAATTTAAAAAATGTAATACATTTTGTAATAAAAAATCAATCGGAATCTACGCCTTCGGTTGTTTCCTCCGTAAAGTGGCGGGTGGGAGTGATGGTAATTTCTTGAGTTCTTCGTTGGGCCTTCAACCAATCGTGAAAGCAAACTAGTGTCTCAAGAGAGTTCGGGCTCAACCTCGTTCTATAATCGGTTAGGACGTTGCTGGTCGCACTAAATTCTTGTTCCACGACAACGGTTGATATCGGGCTATCGGCATTGCTAGCACTTGCTTCGCCATCTTTGATAAAATCGGGAATGTTCTTTCATTTTCCTTCCACCACTTAAGAACGTCAAAGTCATCACCAACTTCATAATCAACATTCAATGTTAGATACAAAGAAAGCTCGTTACCTGAGCTTTGTTCAGTAGCGGGAGTTGCTCTACTTTTTTTCAAAAGAAAACCAACATATGAGCCCGGGACCGAACCGCTTGATGACCGGGCCGGGTGGCCCGAACCGTGACCTAACCGCCAAACCGGGTCGGTCCGGGCCCGCAAAGTAGCGGGCCGGTCCGGTTTCGGGCCGGTTGGCCCGGCCCGAGTCCACTCCTACTCACAGGCTCACACTACTGAAGCACCGTCTTCCAACTGATGTGAAGTTGAACTAGGCATGGATTCGGGCCGGGTCGGACCTGGCCTAGGTCTGGTCAGGCTGCCAGTTTGTGAATGGTGGGCCCGGGATCGGCTCGAGGTAAAGGCGGTTCTGGTTCGGGCTGGGCCACCCGCCCGGGTCACGGGTCAGGCCACCCGTCGGGCCGGTAGGGATGGACTTGGTTCGGGCCAGGCCTGGTTCGGGCCTTGAACCTGCCGGGCCTCGGTTCAAGGTATGGGAGGCCTGGAACCGGCCCGGGTAACCCCCGGGTCCGGGCCGGGTCTCGGTTATAAATATATATATATATTTTTGGGCTTTTCCTAGTTAACCCCCAACCCTCCCCCTCACCCCCAAGCCAACCCTAACCACCTCAAATGGCCCAAAATACCCAGCCCAACCCAAAAATTTTAAAAAAAATCAAAAAAAAAAAAAAAAAAAAAAAAAAAAAAATTGGCCCGGCCCGGGCCTGAACCGGCCGGGCTGGTTCACCTTTTGAAGGGACCGAGCCCGAACCGAGTTCCCACCGGGCCGGGTGGACCGAACCGTCCAACCAACCGGTTCACCGGGTCGGTCCGGGTTCGCACAGTAGCGGGTCGGTCCGGTTCTGGGCCGGTTGGCCCGGTCCCAGTCCATCCCTACGGGCTGGGCCGGTTAAATCCATTTTTTTATAATATACTTTATAGTTTTATACAAGTATTAAAAACAAACTTCAAGTGCATTTATTTGAAATGAAATAGGAACTAGATTTGACAATTAAGGAAAAAATACAATATGAAATTACAATTGAGAATTGAAGGTAAAATTAAAACATGAAATGCTAATCAATCAGAATCTCCGTAATAGGTAGAGCCACTCTCGATTGTAGATTCATCAATAAAGTGTTGGGATGAGGTGGTAGCATATAAGCATCTCAAGAGATTCTGCGCTCAACCTCGTTCTACATTGTGTTAGGACATTGCCGGCCAAACTAAATTCTTGTTCGACGGCAACTGTTGAAACCGACATTGATAGCACTTGGCTACTTGCTTAGCCATCTTTGCTAAAATCTGGATCATTCTTTCTTTTCCCTTCCACCAGTTTAGAACGTCAAAGTCATCATCTTCTTCAAAATCAACATCATATGTTAAAATGTTAAATACAAAGAAATGTCATTAATTTTATGCATCATTGTATGAGAAATTACCAAAAGGTTGTTGGTTATTTGCAAATCTCGATATTTGAGTTTGCTTCCTCGTTCCACCGGGTGTTTGGATTTAAGATGCCTTGTGGCGGATCCGTATCCGCCGGAAATCCTCAAGCTATAATTTTTCTTGCACCACTTGCAAGTTGCGTTCCAATTCCCGGTGTTCGGGTCCTTCCACTTATCAAAATTATTTTGCATTAGTTCAGATCTACTTTTTTCGTACCTGTTTGGGATGAGACAGGCTCGTCGGCGTCGTGGCTGCCGCCACCCTCCTCCACGAGGCCGAGGGCAGCATGCATTCATCAAAAACAGAGTAAGTGTGAAATTTACAAACAGGCCGAAGCCGAAGGATCAAAGTTGTTCATTACAAAATATGTTCAAGGATTTTTAAATACAAAGTCACTCTACAACTACAACAGCATCATTCACCGGGGCGCCCTCTGCAGCCGGCCTCGATGATGCCTCCGCTCCGGTCTCGACAGCGTCGTCCTCGGCCTCATTCTTCAACTCCGTGTCCTCAAGGTCGGGCCTCTGAACACCTTCCGGGAGCGACTCACGGACATCAGGCTGCAGGGGAGGAAGGCCATACGCCCAGGGGGAGAAGTCCTTTTGCTCAATGCCCAAATGTCGGGCCATTGTTGGTCCCGGTTATACTGGATACAGTCTAGAGGGGGGGGGGGGGTGAATAGACTGTATTGGTTTTTAGCTTTTTAAACTAAGTACCAGATTTTCAGAATAGCCTGTTCTGTTGAGAGAACAGACTGGCAGCGGATGGGGTTCTGGCAGGGAGTTCTGTTAGCCTCAGAGAAACAAAGGCAGAAGGCCTTCTGTTAACTCGTAGAACCAGTTCTGCTGAACACAGATACCAAGTCCAAGGAGTTATACAGTTCTATCTAAGTGCAAGAATTATAAGCAGTAAGTAAATGACACCAGGGATTTTTATAGTGGTTCAAGGAACAACTCGTTCCTCTAATCCACTGTTCCACTAAGTTGTAAAAACTGCCGTTTACAAAGCCTTAGTCCTAGCACTTAAGAAGTACTCCACGTCTTCTTCAAGTCTAGATGTGTCCTGGGATGCACTGCCTGGCTTCCTTTAACACTGGTCCTTTCACTGAGTCTCCTTGAAGTATCACCACTTCACTACTCCAGTTATTAGGACGTCCTTCTTGTAGCAAGAAGAGTTTCTGTTGAAACTGAGGTTCCTCCAACTAGCTTCGTTACAAAATGTGTGTATGTGAAGAGCTTGAAGAGTTGAAGAACACTTGGAACTTTGCTTGAGTTGGAAAGAGAATTTTTCCAACTTCTGCCTTCTCTTGTAGAGTATACTAAGGTTGAATCTCAAGGAGGCTTTTGCTTTTCAGAGTTTGAATATCTTGCTCTGTTAGCAATGTGATAGCAAGGTTATAGCAAAGTTGTCCGGTTGTTCTTCGTAGTGTATCTTTTATACTGAGGTTGTCTCCCCGTTGGAGGAGTAGGAGGACAACTGCATTAAATGAGTGATCAGTTGACTTGACTAGTAGAGCCCGGTAAGGTTGGCGGGTTACTATTTTGGGATAAAGTATTCCTGACATTCCGGCCAATCATCTGCAATTACTCTACGTAGCATGGGGTGCATTAAATGAGCATTTAATGCATGCACTGTAGCTTTTCCGTTTTATACTCCTAGCCGTTGAAGGAATCTTTAAGTTGACTTCCCGGTTCTTTGAAAATCTTCCAAGTGTCAGACCTTCTGGTGTCTTTGTCAGAGAGTAGAACAGAAGAGGTCTGGAGCACTTCTGTTGGGAGTATCCAACAGAGACCCATAAGGGTTTCTGTCAGAGTCAATACTAACAGAGGTCCTGAGGACTTCTGTTCTGGAGCAGGGAACCAAAGGTCCTCTGTTCCAATAACGCCTTAAGAGGCACTTCTGCTCTGGGCGCCCTTCTGTTCTTGAAGCACTTCTGCTCTTGAAGCACTTCTGCTCTTGAAGCACTTCTGCTCTTGAAGCACTTCTGTCAGGTCGAATACATCTAAGAATTTTACAAAGAAAAATTCTAATACATAATTTCTAAAGGAGTACTTCTAAAGTCCTAATGAATATAGCATCATCAAAATCTAAATACAATTATTCCTTACGATTTCCCCCTTTTTGATGATGCCAAAACCCTTTAACTATTTCCAGAGAAGTGCCTTCACCATAAAAACATTAAGTTTAAAAACTTCCATTAAAATCTTGGTGGGCAACTTGGCATAGGAAAATAGTAAGAGTAAGATACATTCAGATAGCAGAATATAACAGAAATAAACAAACACAAACAGAAAGCAAAAAGACAAGAATTTGAGGGAAAAGCACTTCAAAGTAAGAAGGCAGAGATGTGATTTTATTAGATAGATATTACAGAGTTTAAGCCTTACACATTCTCCAGATTGGCTGCCTGTAGAGCTTCTTCCTCTAGTCTTTGGAGCCTGAGCAGTTCTTCATTTATTTCAGCTCTGATTCTGAACAGATTGCCCGACCTTTGATAAGATGCCCATATTGGAGAGAGTTTGCAGTCCAAGTAGTTGAGGACACCTTCATGCACAGTCTTTCCAGGGACAATGTTCTTCTTGTACCATTCTTCTGCTTCTTCAAGAGATCCTCCATACCTAACTCTGACAACACCATCTTTGTCTAGATAAAGGTGCTGTTGTTGGGTAGGAGTCATTTTGGCTTTCATTTCCTCAAATTGGGCTCTGTCAATATTCTGAGAGCCACCCAATCTCCATTCAGTAAAGTTGAAAACTTTCTTCTTCTTGGTGCTCTTCTTGACTGGAGATGGGGGTCTGGGTATGCCTGCTGCCCTTTTCTTTTGTAAGGCAGCCTCAAAGTAGGGAGCCGGATCTACTGCAGGCTCACCAGAGGAGGGTGCTCTGGTAGGAGTTCTGTGAGACCTAGGCCTGGTCTGTTGAGGGTCCTCTTCCCCCTTTTTGGCATCATTCAAGTCTTCTATCATAAGACTGATCTTCTGGAATTCTGATGCTTGGGTTGAGGCTATCTGCTCCAGGGCCTCTGGTAATGTCTGAGTGACAGATGTAAGGCCTTCAATCAGACCTTGCTGCTTCTGGATGGCAGAGAAGATGTCCTTGTTGTTGGCTTCAAGGAGCACCATCTTCTGATACCGGTCTCTGTCAGTAGATAGGAGGGCTTGAGCCTGTTCCTGATGAGTTCTGCACATCTGCTCAATAGAGGTCAAGTGCCTCTCTGTTCTGGCATCAGATTCCTTCAGAGCCTCAAGATGCTCTGAGATATGGTGGATTGCCTGTCCTTGACTCAGGAGAGTCTGTTGAAAGATTGACAAAGTGTTGTGGATGCCTACCACTTCTGTTGACAGGACATCTGTTCTGGCAGTTGAGGAGGCAATGAAGTTGTTGAGGGTCCCAGTGAGGTTCTCAAAGCGGTCAGAGATGAACTGCATCCCTGAATTCAGATTGTCATTCACATGAGCAAGATGCCCATAGTGCTTATCATTTACCTCTATCAGCTTGTCCAAGCCTTGGAGGATCTGTCCTCCAAACTCTTCTGCAGATTCAACAAACTTGTTGAAAGGAATGTCATGCTTTTGTCCATCTGCTTGAGGCATCTCTAGACCTCTTCCCCTTGGTAGTGGGTGATGTTCTTGGACAGATGACAGAGAGTGAACAAGCTGGTCATGTTCCAGTTGAGTCAGAGGAGGGGTCTTCTGTCTCTTGGATGTGGCTTTGTATGATTTGCTGACCATGAATCCATCCATGTCAGAGGATATCTCATATGGAGAGTAGATAGGTTTTCTGTTGCGAACCACCTTCTTCTTCTTTCTCAGAGAGGGATTGGGAGCAACAGAGTCCCTAGAATACCCTTTGGGTGCAGAGATGGGGGAGATAGTTGTAGGATCTGAGTCTCTTAGAAACCATAACGGTTTTAGGTTTCCTGCAGGTTGTTGTGGAGGAGGTGATTCTGGTGGAGGAGATTGATGATCTGATTCTGATGGGGATGAGGAGGAGGAGATCTGTTGGGGTGAGGGGTTCTGGTGTTTGGGTGAGGAGTGAATGGATGAGGCATTCTGGTGAGGGGGAGATGGGGGAGGTGAAGGTGAGCGGTTTCTGTAGGGAACAATTGCTCTGCAAGGAGATGCAATTTTCATTTTGGGTGATGGAGGAGGGGTGGGGGTGTTCTGTTCAGGAGATTTATGTGGAGGGAGTTCTGGTGGAGGGGTTTCTGTGCTGGTGGAAGGTGAGGGAATAAGTGGTTCTGTTGGAATAGAAACAGAAGGGGTTGGAGAGTTTACCTCAATGATGTTGTCCACGAGCAAGGAAGTCCTCCATTCCCTGATTTGCTCCATCATTGCTTGTCCTTCTGTCTTGAGAACAGAGGACTCTCCTGGGTTGAAGTTGGGCTGAACAGAGTCAGTTGCCATCTTAGTGAACAACCATTCTTCAAAGGCTTCAATTTCCCCATCTTCAAGAGGTTTGAAAGCTTCCTCTGAGGGTGAAGAAATGAGAATGGCCTTACCATTGTAGCTGGCCTTCTTCTTCTCAAGGACAGAGTGAAGAAAGTTGAGGGCAAAACACTTTGAGACATCATCAGTCCAAACCCAATTCAGGATGGCTTCCTCTTCTGCCTCATAATGATCAAAGAATTGGATTATCTTGTGGAGGGGTCCCATTCTCCATCTTCTCCATTCAAGGACCCGGGTAAACTGTCTGTCAAGCAAGGACAGATACCCATCTTTCACAGGACTGGGGTGCTCAGGTGGAGTTGGCACCCTGTTCTGTTCAGGGGATGCAGCAGAGGTGGGGATCTCTGGTTCCCCCTGAGTGTCTGCCACTCCTTCAGATTCTGAAACCAGAGGTTGAGCAACCTTTTTCTTGGGTTTGGAGGTCCTTTTCCTCTTCTGTCCGGCCTTAGGGGGGGCAAGAGGTGCTTCCCCTTCAGTCTTCTTCTTCTTCTTCTTCTTCTTTTCTGCCTTCTTAGCAGAAGTGGCTACAGAGAGAGGTTTCTGTACCTTTTCTCCCTGTTTCCTCTTAGCTTCAAGTTGAAGCTGCCTCTTCAGTTCGGCCTTTATGGCTTTTTCCCTATTGGGAGAGGCAGTCAAGAAAATTACCTTGGTATGATCCAAGGCTGAAGCCTTCCTCAAGCTTACCCCTTGTTTGAGGAGCACTTCAGAGATGAGCAGACCATGCCCTAGCTTCCCAGAGTAGAGGCTAGTCTTGGGATTCTTCTTCTTGATCACTTCAATCAGGGACTTCACCATGATTTGTCCCCAATTGACATTTACCCCATGATGTACTGCATACAGGGCTTTAGCATTGGCCGTTGTAACATCATCAGTGGAGGTGTACTTGCACCATAAACATTTGTGGAAAATGTTTATAAGTAGATCAAATTCCCTCTTGAGCAGGTGCTTCTTTATGTTGACCTTCTCAACTTCTTCCCCTTTTCTGCAGAACTTTTTCTTGAATTCTGACATAGGGATGTCAATATCTTCCAAGTCAAGTAGAGAGTCCCTTCCTCCCTTTTGCTGAATATGGAAGATGTTGTTGATGACGTCAGCATCAACCACCACCTTTTCTCCTTGGACAACGGAGGAGATGACTTCATCCTTGAAGGATGCGTTGAGATAGAACTCAACTGTGTCCATATTGCTGTATGCCTCATAATCATGAGAGATGACCTTGCTCAGTTGGCATTGTGACAGTCCGTCAACAATGGAGGTCATCCTCTCCTTTTTCTCTGCAATCCTGGGGAGTACGTCCAGTTCGCATCTCAGGCCAGTCAAGACACTTTTGAGAAGTGTTGCCCTTTGTTCCTTTGAAAGATCGGAGAAGCTCAAGATGGCCATGGAGTTTACTGCGGTTAGAAAATTTCTGAGAGATAAGAGTTCAAAAGCTTGAGAGTTATGAGAGCAGTAACGGTTTAGGTTTGCGAAAGGGGGTTTTATGGATATGAGTTAGTGGACGTTTGAGATAATTTACGGTTCCAAGAAACCAATAAATGTAAAAAGAGGCGCAGTAAATAAATGGGGGCGCAGTAAATTTTGTACGGCTGGATACCGTTTTAAGGGTAAAAGGGTAAAAGACCTTTAATAAGTTACAAGGTCACCCGGTTTACTAATTTTCTTTTCTAAGTCCACCACTTTCTGTTTGACAAGATAGGGTTTTCTGTAGAGAGGGTTTCTGTTGCATAGGTGTTCTGCCAGGGTAGAGAACAGAAGAGGTTGACAGAGGAGGGTTAACAGAAGGGGTTCTGCTACAGGAATTCTGTCAACAGCAAATGAGCAACAGAGGTCCTTCCTTTTCAACTTTCTCTTGGAATCTCATCCATCATTCCCAATTCTTCTCTCAGCTTATTGAACCTAGCCTCAGGAAGAGGCTTTGTCAGGATATCTGCAAGTTGGTCTTCTGTTGGCACATGTTCCATGCAGATATGTTTCTTCTCCACATGATCTCTGATGAAGTGATGTCTGATCTCAATATGCTTTGTTCTGGAATGAAGAACTGGATTCTGAGTGATAGCAATGGCACTGGTGTTGTCACACAACAGCTTGATCTCCATTGCTTGAATTCCATAGTCCTTCAGTTGTTGCTTCATCCAGAGTAGCTGAGCACAGCAACTCCCAGCTGCAATGTACTCTGCCTCAGATGTACTTGTTGAGATGGAGTTCTGCTTCTTGCTGAACCAGGAAACAAGCCTTCCTCCTAGCAATTGGCAGTGACCAGAGGTGCTCTTCCTGTCTAGTCTGCAACCTGCAAAATCTGAGTCAGAATAACCAATTAGTTCAAAGTTACCTCCCTTGGGATACCATAGGCCTGCATTGGGGTTTCCTTTGATATATCTGATGATTCTCTTTGCAGCACTTAGATGGCTTTCCTTGGGCTTTGATTGGTATCTGGCACAGATTCCAACAGAGAATGAGATGTCTGGTCTGCTTGCAGTCAGATACAACAGAGATCCTATGATTCCTCTGTATGTTGTTGCATCTACATCCTTTCCTTCATCATCTGGACCAATTCCTTGTGAGGTGTTCATAGGAATCTTCACTGATGATTTGCCTTCCACTCCAAACTTCTTGATTAGATCTCTGGTGTACTTCCCTTGATTGATAAAGATCCCTTCTGGAACTTGTTTGACTTGAAGTCCTAGGAAGTAACTGAGTTCTCCCATCATACTCATTTCAAATTGACTCTGCATCACTTGAGAAAATTTCTTGCACAGTTCTGAATTAGTACTTCCAAATATAATGTCATCAACATATATTTGTACTAACAGAATATGATTGGCAACAGAGATTTGAAATAGAGTTTTGTCAACCTTTCCTTTAGTAAATCCATGGTTTACTAGGAAAAGGGACAATGTGTCATTCCAGACTCTGGGAGCTTGCTTAAGACCATAGAGGGCCTTTTTAAGCTTGTAGACACAAGAAGATTGAGTAGGAATGACAAAACCTGGTGGTTGTTCCACATAAACTTCTTCTTCAAGATCTCCATTCAGAAATGCACTCTTGACATCCATCTGGTAGACCTTGATGTTGTTGTAAGCAGCACAGGCTAGAAAGATTCTGATGGCTTCAAGTCTGGCAACTGGTGCAAAGGTCTCATCAAAATCTATTCCTTCTTCTTGACAGTATCCTTTAGCTACTAGCCTTGCTTTGTTCCTTACAATGTTGCCGTCTTCATCTGCTTTGTTCTTGAATATCCATTTGGTTCCAATGACATTCTGGTGCTTTGGCCTAGGAACAAGTTCCCACACTTTGTTCCTCTCAAACTGAGTGAGCTCTTCTTGCATAGCATTGATCCAATCTGAGTCTGCAAGAGCTTCTTCAACTGTCATAGGTTCCATCTGAGATATGTAGCAGGCAATCATTGCTTCTCTCCTTGATGTGGATCTGGTTTGGACTCCACTTCTGATTTGTCCAATTACTTGATTAGGAGGATGATCTCTTAACCAAGTAAGATCAGGTTCTGATAGGGGTTGCCTTCGATTCTCTTGTTCTTCTTCTGATTCTTCATCACTATCCTTGCTTTGCAGAATGGGATTCTGATGATTCATTGGTATGGCAGAGTTGGTCAGCAACTCTGGTGTATCTATCTCTGGTGGATCCAGTTTTGGAGATTCTTTGAGATTCGCTTTCTCCAAGTTTTCAGTTATGCTCTCAACAGAGTTGAGATCATCAAACTTGACATGAATCGATTCTTCAACATGTAGGGTTCTTCTGTTGAGTACTCTATAGGCTTTACTGGTGTTTGAATAGCCTATAAAGACTCCTTCATCAGCCTTTTCTTGAAATACTTTCAGATGCTCCTTTCCATTGTTGAGAATGTAGCACTTGCATCCAAATATATGAAAGTAGCTGATGTTTGGTTTTCTTCCCTTCCAAAGTTCATAAGGGGTCTTCTGGTGATTCTTGTTGATCATGCTTCTGTTCTGAGTATAGCATGCAGTGTTGATTGCTTCAGCCCAATATCTCATAGGCAATCCAGATTCTGCAATCATTGTTCTTGCAGCTTCTTTTAGAGTTCTGTTCCTTCTTTCTGCTACGCCATTCTGTTGAGGGGTTCTGGCGGCAGAAAGTTGATGAAATGTTCCATTCTGATCACAGAAGTCCTTTATGACTTGGTTGACAAATTCAGTTCCTCTGTCTGATCTGATTGTCTTCACTTTCAAGTTCTTCTCAGTCTGAAATTGCTTTAACAGAGATGGCAACTTCTGAAGAGTTTCATTTTTCTTTGTCAGAAAAACAGTCCATGTGTATCTGGAGTAGTCATCAACCATGACTAGGGTGTATTTCTTGCCACCAACGCTTGGAGTCTCAACAGGTCCAAATAAATCCATGTGAATCAGATTTAGAGGACTTGTAGAAAGATCTCCAGCAATGGGTTTGAAGGAATTCTTTACTTGTTTGCCTTTCTGACATGCACTGCAGAGGGTCTCTCTTGTACACAATGTCTGGTAGCCCTTCTACAATGTGTTCTCTGGCTAGTTTGTTGATTGTTTTGAAATTCAAATGGTTGAGCTTTTTGTGCCAGTCCCAGCTCAGTTTTGAATCTCCCTTGGCTATCAGGCAAACTCCATCTTTTGCAGTGTTCCAATCAACTACATAGATGTTCTTTTTCCTTGATGCTGTAAGAACCACTTCCTTTGTTGTCTCATGCTTCACATAGCAGAAGTCCTTTGTGAATTCAACAGTGTAGCCTTTGTCACAGAACTGGCTAGCACTCAGCAAGTTGAACTTCAGTCCTTTGACATATGAGACATCATCAATGATGATCTGGTTTTTGATCAGCTTTCCTCTTCCTTTTGTTTGACCTTCTTTGTCATTACCTCCAAAGGTAACTCTGGGTCCTTTGCATTTCTGGAACTCTGTTAGGCAACTTCTGTCACCTGTCATGTGCCTGGAGCATCCACTATCAATAAACCATTCTTGTTCAGAGATGGCTCCAGAACACAGTTCCTGCAAGATCAAAAGAAAGATTTAGGTACCCAAGCAATGCTGGGTCCTGGGGGGTCATGGAGTCTGGGTAGTTGGTACCATTTTGGTCTCATCAAGTGAAACCTTGGTGGGTGGTACCCATTGTCCACCTGGTAGTTGTAGTAGACAGAAGTGTGATTCACTTTGGGCAGATGCTTGTGAGGGTCATGCTTCCTGTTTACATACTTTTGCATAGCTTTCTTTGTTGGAAAGAAGTCCCATATACTATCAAGAGCAGAGGGACGGTTAATTTTGGGCTTCTGAAGTTGACCAGCCAACCTCTTCTGCCTGAAGTTAACTCTCTCTTGATATTTGCCCTTCTGGTAATCATTTCTAGCACGATTGTCATGAGGTTGTCTGTCAATGAATGGTCTTTTATTTTTGTTATTCTGAAAACCTCTTCTGTTGTTAGGTTTTCTGTCAGGTTCATTATTTTTCAAAAAGGGTTTCTGTTGAACCTTTATCTTATCCTTTTCTGGTCTGACTTCCTCATGGACAACCTTGGTGCCAGATACACCAGCTTGACAGATGGGGCTAGAAATCAGTGACTCTATGACCTTATCTGCCTTAGCAACTCTGGTGCTAGGCATTACAGAAGGCTCACCTGATTCTGTTGAGCCATAACCAAGACCAAAACCAGTGCCAATCTGTTGATCAAGCACAATCTTTTCCATGGAAGACTGGGCCTTCTGGTAAGCTTTGTACTTAATCTCGAGAGGCTCTATTTCTCTTATTCTCTTAAGAAGAGAAACATTTTCAGTCTTCAGTTGATCTCTTTCCTCAATTAGAAGATTGATTTTGACCTCAACCTCCTTCTTTAAGTCAAGAATTTCAGCTTTTAACTTACTGTTTTCTTCTGTTACAGAAGAATAAGTGGCTTGTATGGCCTTAAACTCTTCCCAAAATTCTGACATTGAATCAGAATCAAAAGCTAAACCTACCGAAGAGAAACTAGATTCAGAAGTAGAGGTTACCTCATCATCAGAATGAGCCATTAGGCAAAGGTCTTCTGTCTCAGTATCCAGGCAACAGAAGGCCTCATCAGAATCTGAGTCAGAACTGGATTCTGTTTCTGACAGAGGGTCTTTCTCCACCTGTTCTGTCACAAGTGCCTTTCTCCTTCTGGAGTTGTCCTCGTACTTCTTCTTTTCTCCATCCTGTCCTTGCTTCTTGGACACTCTAGGATGGGGACAATCAGCCTTGAAGTGACCAGGTTGTCTGCAGTTGTAACAGAGAAGCTCTCCACTGCTTTCTGTTGATTTGACCTTCTGGTATGGCTTTCTGTTGAAAGATGGACTCCTTCCATCTTTGGGATTCTTCATAAACTTTTTGAATCTCCTGGCAAAGGCAGCCATATATTAATCAGATAAAAGTACTGAAGGGTCAAAATCATTTACCTTAGATGTGCTGGCAGTGAGGGCTGTAGTAGTCCTCTCTTCTGGTACATCTTCCTTTTCTTCAATCATTTCAAACTCATGAGCTTTGAGATCTGAAATGAGCTTATCAGTTGGATAAGTCTTTACATCCTTGCTGGCTTGGACAGCAACTACTTTCATCTTCCATGCTGAGGGCAGGCCCCTCAACACCTTCAGGTTGATCTCCTTGGTTGTGAGATCCTTGCCAAGCTCAGAAATCTCTCCAGTGAGAGTGAGGAGCCTGTCATACATCTTGGAGATGCTTTCGCCAGGGAGAAGTTTGAAGTCATCAAACTTCTTGTTGGCTATGGTTAGTTTGTTGTCCTTCTCTTGCTCATCACCAGCTCCAATGAGCTCAAGAGTATCCCAGATCTCCTTAGCAGTCTTGCACTTCTTGATCCTGTTGAAGTATCTATCATCAATGGACTTGTAGAGGATGTCCTTGGCAATATTGTCTAAGTTGTACTTTCTCCTCTCTTCAGTGGTCCATTCTGACTTGGCTTTGCTAATCATCTGGGGTCTGGTATTGTCTATAGCATGTTCAGGGTTGACCTTCTGGAAGCTAGTGAAGGGGCCAATATCAAGAACTTCCCACATCTCATCATGCAGGGCACAGAAATGTGCTTTCATCCGGATCCTCCAGTCATCAAACTTAAGATCTGAAAGCATAAGATTCTTGGACAAGGAATGATCCATTATATCAGATAGAAATGAGGTAAAACAGAAAAACAAGTGGATCTTTGTTCAACAAATAACCTAAAAGATTATTAGAACAAGGAGGCTCTGATACCACTTGTTGGTCCCGGTTATACTGGATACAGTCTAGAGGGGGGGGGGGGGGGGGGTGAATAGACTGTATTGGTTTTTAGCTTTTTAAACTAAGTACCAGATTTTCAGAATAGCCTGTTCTGTTGAGAGAACAGACTGGCAGCGGATGGGGTTCTGGCAGGGAGTTCTGTTAGCCTCAGAGAAACAAAGGCAGAAGGCCTTCTGTTAACTCGTAGAACCAGTTCTGCTGAACACAGATACCAAGTCCAAGGAGTTATACAGTTCTATCTAAGTGCAAGAATTATAAGCAGTAAGTAAATGACACCAGGGATTTTTATAGTGGTTCAAGGAACAACTCGTTCCTCTAATCCACTGTTCCACTAAGTTGTAAAAACTGCCGTTTACAAAGCCTTAGTCCTAGCACTTAAGAAGTACTCCACGTCTTCTTCAAGTCTAGATGTGTCCTGGGATGCACTGCCTGGCTTCCTTTAACACTGGTCCTTTCACTGAGTCTCCTTGAAGTATCACCACTTCACTACTCCAGTTATTAGGACGTCCTTCTTGTAGCAAGAAGAGTTTCTGTTGAAACTGAGGTTCCTCCAACTAGCTTCGTTACAAAATGTGTGTATGTGAAGAGCTTGAAGAGTTGAAGAACACTTGGAACTTTGCTTGAGTTGGAAAGAGAATTTTTCCAACTTCTGCCTTCTCTTGTAGAGTATACTAAGGTTGAATCTCAAGGAGGCTTTTGCTTTTCAGAGTTTGAATATCTTGCTCTGTTAGCAATGTGATAGCAAGGTTATAGCAAAGTTGTCCGGTTGTTCTTCGTAGTGTATCTTTTATACTGAGGTTGTCTTCCCGTTGGAGGAGTAGGAGGACAACTGCATTAAATGAGTGATCAGTTGACTTGACTAGTAGAGCCCGGTAAGGTTGGCGGGTTACTATTTTGGGATAAAGTATTCCTGACATTCCGGCCAATCATCTGCAATTACTCTACGTAGCATGGGGTGCATTAAATGAGCATTTAATGCATGCACTGTAGCTTTTCCGTTTTATACTCCTAGCCGTTGAAGGAATCTTTAAGTTGACTTCCCGGTTCTTTGAAAATCTTCCAAGTGTCAGACCTTCTGGTGTCTTTGTCAGAGAGTAGAACAGAAGAGGTCTGGAGCACTTCTGTTGGGAGTATCCAACAGAGACCCAGAAGGGTTTCTGTCAGAGTCAATACTAACAGAGGTCCTGAGGACTTCTGTTCTGGAGCAGGGAACCAAAGGTCCTCTGTTCCAATAACGCCTTAAGAGGCACTTCTGCTCTGGGCGCCCTTCTGTTCTTGAAGCACTTCTGCTCTTGAAGCACTTCTGCTCTTGAAGCACTTCTGTCAGGTCGAATACATCTAAGAATTTTACAAAGGAAAATTCTAATACATAATTTCTAAAGGGGTACTTCTAAAGTCCTAATGAATATAGCATCATCAAAATCTAAATACAATTATTCCTTACAGCCATCCTCCGGTAGATGAGGGCCTGGGTGAAGAATTCGCCGGCTTCATAGTACTCTCTGCCCTTCCGGGCCATCCATTCCCACCCAGGGCCCTCGGCCCATTCCTCGACGTGTGCCTCCACAACCGAGGACAGCCACATCTTGCGTCCCTCGGCCCTCCAGCCCTCGGCGACGAAGGCATCAACGGCTTCCTCCCGAGCCTTGGCGACGGCCAGCGCCTTGGAGTCCTCGGCCTCTTTGGCAGCTCTCCTGGCCTCCTCAGCAGCGGCCTCAGCATCGGCCTTGCCCTTCTCTGCAGCCCCCAATCTCAGCTCCATTTGCCGAAGCTCCTCTTCCAGCCTGGCCCCCAGCTTCACCGCCTCTTTATTTTTGAGGATGCATTCTTTCATCTTGGCATCCTGCTCGGCTTTATGGAGGCGCCATTCTTGAAGCCTCCGGGCATGTTCACCGAGGGCTAGACAAGCCTGCAGACCAACAACCAAAATGGTTAAAAACAATTGCACAATATAATCAAAGGAGAAAAGGAGGAAAGCTGAGTAAACACTTACAGAAAGGGAGGAGCGGAGGATGTGGTCCTCGAGGGCCGCATCGTTATAAGCCCCGAGGGCAGCCCTATCAGTCTCAGGGGTTATGCCCCTCAAGATGGCCCCCGGGTCGACAGCGCCGCTGGTCAGGGATGTCCCCCTCGGGAACGAGACTTGGAGGACCTCAGGCAGCAACTCCTCTGCCCCCGCCGGCGTTTCACCCGACGGCTTCTCCACATGCACCCCGGAGGCGGGGTGCTCATCAGCGATAATGACCGGGGGCTCCTTCTCGACGACATCCCCCTTCTTCGGCTTTTTGGTAGCCGGGGGGGACCCCTTGGTCGCTGCCTTCCTCTTGCCGGCAGCGGCATCACCCTCGGCTTTCTTAAAGAGGGCAGTGGCGGGCTTCTGGATGCCCTGTCCCGACCCCTTCGGGTCCTGTTTCTTCAGACGAGCAAGGCCCTTTACGTTCACCATAGAGACGGGGATACCTGCACAAAGGAGACAAAGGGTTAGTCCGACGGGTCTAAGCGAAGGGACAATAACATCCAAGCAAAAAAAAAACTAAGTACAAAATTCTAAAGCCCTCGGCTCCTACCTCCGGCCCCTCCGAAGGCCTTGTTGAAGGGAGGGTACTTTTCATCGGTCTCCCCTATGAAGCGGTACCTCCGGAACCCGAGGGTGTATAAATCTCCTCGAGGGTGCAGTCTTTGATCGCCACGTTCTTATTTTTCCCCTCCGGGAACTTGGCCAGCTTTAGGCCGTCTTTCTCGAGAGCGGCACTCCTGATCTTTTCGTGCCTTCGGAATCGATCACGCAGCTCCCTCGGGAATGGGCTCTCATCCAACTTTACGTAGCACCAACGTTCCCTCCATCCTTTGTTGGAAGAAGGAGCATCGGAGAATAGTTTGAAGCGGGCAATCTGCTGCAGGTTGGCATACCCCTCGCCGTTTTCGTGCCCCCCCCCCCCCGGCACAAATTAAAGCTCTGGAAGAATAGATCCAGGCTGGGCTTCACCCCTCGGGACTTGCAGAGCTGGAGGAATCCCGCAATGTAGGAGTGGCTGTTGGGCGTGAGTTGGCAGGGGACCAAGCCCACAAACCTCAAATATTCCCGGAGGAATGGGTGCAGAGGGAACCTAAGTCCCATGGAAATCGAAAGGACGTGAATAGCGATACACCCCTCGGGCGCCCTGGACAACACGTCGTCGGGACCTGGCTCCACCACTTCGGCCGAGGGCCCCACGTGCAGCTGAGTCACGTACAGATCTGCCCTGTCAGCCTTCAACCTGATCTCGAGGGCCTCAGTGTTCAGCCAACTGTACCCCTCGGGCATGTCCACGGGCTTTCCTTGATCGACGGCCCTCTCCTTCTTCTTGGTAGCGGCCTTCTTCTTCTTCAAACCGGAAACCGCCCTCAGAGGTATCGGATCCAACGGCCTCGAGCTACTGGCCTCCCCGGAACCCCGAGGGGGGAGAACAACAATCGTAACCTTCGAGCTCTCATTCTGTGCCTCATCCTCCGCTGTTTGCCATGCGAGGGCTAAGTCTTCATCCTCGCACTCCTGCTCGAAGCCCTCGGCTTCGACCTCCGCAATGAGTTCCTTCTGGACCTCCCGGGCCAGGACGGCATCAGCGCCGTCCGAGGGCTGGCCACTGCTGGACTCCACGTCGGAGATGCCCTCGTCCTCCATCGAGGGCGTCCTCGAGATGTCCTGAGAGTCACTCTGAGACGACATTCTATCTCTAGCTCGAGGGTTCGGGGGAACTAAGGTTTCTAGTGAATTCTATCTCCTAAACCGAGGGCGCAACGTACCGCTATACTAGAAGGAGAAAGGCAGGGAGCACTGACCTCGAAAGCTGAGTTAGGACCGAAGGCTTGAGTTTCTCTCACTAGATTTTTTGGCAGAGCTTCGCTAAGACAACTGAGTTCGCACAGGGGAAATGGCTCTTGCCTTGGGGTATTTATAGGCGATGAATCCGGGCTTGGGCCTGGATTCCGGGCCTCCGGACGGACCACCATCATTACACACCGCCGTTTCACCCAACCGGTGACGCCGCCCACGAACAGCCAGCCATCACACGCCACGTGTGCCACCCCCCAACAGCTATATCCTGTCGTTACATATTCCAACGACTATATTTCCAACGGCTATATTCTGGAAGCCCCCGGGTTTTCTACTTCACTCCACTTCATCAAGGATAGCCTCCGGGTGCACTCACCCAGAAGTGCCCCCGGGTTGTGCCCCACACAGCACATTACACACGCCTTCGGGATCACTCCTTCAGAAACCCAGGGCTTCATATCAGGACACCCCCTCGGGGATTCCCCCTCAGCACTGCAAAACCGGGTAGCCCCCGGGGAGTTGCCTCATTGACGGATGACCCACGACACACAGGTAATGGGAGCCCTCGGGTATCTTCATCACCAACCAATAAACAAACAGTGGACCCCCCGGTAACAACTCCACTGCTGCCTTCATCTGACAGGCCCTCGATCCCTGGATTGAGAGGCTCCCCTTCGGCGCCACCAGGACATCAACAGCAAGCCTTCGGTTAATCAACACAGGAGCCCTCAGAAGAGAGAGCCTTCAGCATTCCCGTCATTCTCCATTTTTTACCAAGATTTGACATTTTCGATTCATCATTGGGGGAATTCGGTGCACTCTTTTTCCCTCATTAGGATTTTTTCCCAAAGGGTTTTTCCTAATGAGGTTTTTAACGAAGCATCCCCCCAAAATGAAACGAAAAGCGTCAGCCTTCGGCCCACAACAGCAACATAACTACTTTACTCCTTTTCACCACTCTACAAGTGCCTCAAGGAGTGGGGGACTGGAGGACCCCCTCGGGAAGATCATTAAATTACAAAATCTGTGAAATTCCAACAAACAACAAAGCAAGCCCTCAAGTCCCGACATGTGGGTAACTGAGGGACTGCCTTCGGCAGGGACATAAAAGCAACAACTCCTCACCAACTTCAGAGATCATGACGGGACAACATCAAAGGGCAAGCACAAATTACTCCTTTTCCCTCAAGTACCTTTCGGCAAAAGGAGTGAGGGACTCCTGATGGAGTATATGGCCCGGGAACCCCCGGCCCACAGACTCCTACTACTCCAGCGAAGGCCCAACAGGACCAACAGGCCCAAATCACAGCGCCCAGAGTACCAAGCAGCCCACGCTACGCGCCAGGGGTGCCTTCGGCCCCCTGGCCGAAGGCTCCAAATTCTCACAGAACGGGTTTCTCAAGCAAATTAAGAAACTGGGAGAAAACGGCGAAAACAGTAGCCCTCGGCACTATGAGCCCTCGGCACCAGGGTGCCATCGGGTGGAAGAGCCCTCGGTTACTGCTCTATAGCCGAAGGCATCTCACTCGACAAGATATCCGCCTCACATGCGTACAGATCATCGTGCCCCGCACAGACGTCCCATCCAACAGCCGCATTAAATGCGGCCACATGCGGCTGCCAGCGCCAACCAGTTGAGGTGACCCCTCGACCAATGAGCGCTTGACACGTGTCCCTGCCCGGCATTTATTGCTACTATAAATAGCACCCCATTTCCTCATTTGTAACCACGCTGAAAACGGCATTCATACTGAATACACTCTCTCTCTACTTTTACTTACTTGCTCTGACTTCTCTCTAAGTTATTCCCCGTAATAACCCTTTGGATATATACCCCCGGGTAGACTATCCATCACCCTTAGAGTTCATTCTAGGAAACATCTTAATTGGCTTTCTAAGGAGGAGATTTTCAAAACCAAACTCAAGAAACAACCGTTCAATCACAAAGCACCTGTCTACTCTCCTCCTGAACCTAAAACGGAAAGATGGGTCCCCAAGATAAGACCCGTCAAAGCTAAAACTGAGAGGTGGGTCCCCAAGATGAGACCTACCAAAACTGAAACAGATAGGTGGGTCCCCAAGATGAGACCTACCAAAACTAAAACGGATAGGTGGGTCCCCAAACGAAGACCCATCCAAACTGAAACTGAAAGGTGGGTTCCCAATCGAAGACCCATCAAAACTGCAACTGAAAGTTGGGTCCCCAAACTTAGACCCACCAGGACTAAAATGGAAAGGTGGGTTCACAACATCAGACCCACCAAAATGGAAACTGCTAGGTGGACTCCAAAAACCAGACACACTGCAAAAGCAGATCTGGCTATTGGAAACCCCATCAAAGATAGATCTTTTGTTGAAAGAGCAGCTGACCTTGGATCACTGCTCAAAGCAAGATTTAAAAAGGTGTTTCTTGATAATAAGGAAGGACCCACTCCAAGTTGGGTACCTAAACCTATTTGATTGTTTTGCAGGACGGTCATGTGTGGCACTTAGACTCAGGATGCTCAACCCACATGACCGGAATAAAGCACCTTTTGAGCAACTACACCAACTGCTACGGAGGAAATGTCAGATTCGGGAATGACGCCTCATCTCCTATCCTTGGGTATGGGGACGTCGTCTGTGCCAGTGTCACAATAAAAGATGTTTCATTCGTCAAAGGGCTCAAACACAACTTACTGAGCATTGGACAATTCTGTGACAGCGGGATGGAAGTGAGGTTCTTTGCAAAACAATGCTGTGTTCTTGACAACACAGGGAATACATTATTAACGTGTTACAGAACATCAAATCTGTACACTATTGATCTGAAAAGCGTCCAATCCACCACTTCCATCTGTCTGCTGTCCAAAGCTTCAACTGAACAGAACAACCTATGGCACAGACGTCTCTCCCATCTGAACTTCAAACATCTATCAACCTTGTCCTCCAAGAAACTTGTCAAGGGGCTTCCTCTGCTAAAGTCTTCCGCTGAAAATCATTGCAGTGCCTGCAAAATGGGCAAAATGACGCGAAGCTCCCACAAGTCAAAAACCGAACCTTCATCTACTCATCAGTTGCAGCTAATACACATGGATCTGTGTGGACCTATGAGAGTACAAAGCATCAACGGTCGCAAATACACTCTGGTGATCGTTGATGACTTCTCTAGGTATACATGGACAAAATTTCTCCGTTCAAAAGACGAAGCTGCGGAAAACATTATGACCTTTATCAGAACGATCCATAAACTGCTACAGCACAGTGTTCGAATTGTTAGAACTGACAATGGTACTGAGTTCAAAAATCAGACTCTCATTGAGTTCTATGAATCACTCGGTATCACTCAGCAATTTGCAGCAGCTAAAACTCCCCAGCAGAACGGAGTTGTTGAGAGAAAGAACAGAACCCTTGTTGAAGCAGCACGCACCATGTTAATTCAATCAAGACTGCCTCACTTCATGTGGGCAGAGGCAATCAATACTGCGTGCTTCACTCAGAACAGAACCTTCATCCACAAGCGCTTCGACAAGACTCCATATGAGATCCTATTCAACAAAACTCCTGATATTTCTTTCCTCAAGGTTTTTGGCTGCAAGTGCTTCATACTCAATGATCGGACAGAGAGAAGTAAGCTGGATCCCAAAGCCAGAGAAGGCGTGTTCATTGGCTACTCACTGCAATCCAAAGCTTACAGAGTCTATCTCAGAGACAAGCGGACTGTCATCGAGAGTGTAAATGTTACATTCTATGAAATGGCAGACTTTGCAATTGAACATCTCCAGACCGATCCATCAACTGCTGTACCAGTAGCTTCTGATAAAGCTGAACCAAACACCGAACACGACGATGTGATTCTCGACTCTCTCTTCAGAAACTTTTAGGAGAACTCACAACCTCCACCTCCTGCATACACTCCAGAGTCAACATCAACTCCAACAGCAGAGATTCCGCTCCTCACAGGACCAGATGATGTACCATCCACACCCTCAACCCCTCAAACCAATCCCAGAGGTGTGGATGATCACGACTTTGCTATAAGTCCGGAATCATCTCCACTACACACCACAGCTGCCCCAGAGCCTTCAAACTCATATCAGGACTCAGATCAACCAAAAATTACTCCAACTCCTCTAGCTCATGAGAGGAAGTGGACGAGAGCACATCTTGTTGAACAGATAATAGGTGATCCAAGTCAAGGTGTGCGAACAAGATCAGCAACAACAAATGAATGTCACTATGCATGTTTTCTAAGCAAGAATGAACCGTCCAAAGTCTCAGAGGCACTCGCTGATCCAGATTGGGTGATTTCCATGCAAGATGAGCTCAATCAGTTTGACAGACTAGACGTGTGGACACGTGCCTAAACCCCCTCAGAAAACCATCATTGGCACTAAATGGGTGTTCAAGAACAAGAAGGACGAAGAAGGCATAGTGATACGGAACAAGGCACGACTGGTCGCTAAAGGATATAATCAACAAGAGGGCATAGACTATGATGAAACATTTTCACCCGTAGCAAGAATTGAAGCAATCCGCCTTTTTCTTGCGTACGCGGCCCACAAGAACTTTACCGTCTTTCAAATGGACGTCAAGACTGCCTTTCTGAATGGAGTCTTGGAAGAAGAAGTCTATGTCGCTCAGCCCGAAGGATTTGTAGATCCCAGATATCCCGACCATGTGTACAAGCTAAAGAAAGCTCTGTATGGGTTGAAACAGGCACCAAGAGCTTGGTATGATGCATTAACCGAATTTCTGGTTGACTCAGGTTTCTCAAAAGGGAAGATTGATACCACACTTTTCATCAAACGACAGAAGTCTGACATCATCCTGATTCAGATCTATGTTGATGACATTATCTTCGCCTCCTCAAATCCATGTCTGTGCAAACACTTTGAGAAACTGATGAAAACCAAGTTCGAGATGAGCATGATGGGCGAACTGAATTTCTTCCTAGGCCTGCAAGTAAGACAACTCTCTGACGGCATTTTCATCAATCAGTCAAAGTATATTCTGGAAATGCTTAAGAGATTCAACATTGATGGCAAATCTTCCATGACGACCCCCATGTCCCCAAACAACAAACTGGACTTCGATCCCTCCGGGAAGCCAATTGATGCTACAAACTACAGGGCCATCATTGGATCTTTGCTATATCTCACGTCAAGCAGGCCTGACATTGTCTTCTCCACATGCTTATGTGCACGCTTTCAGGCAAATCCGAAGGAATCCCATCTGACCGATGTTCGAAGAATTCTGAGATACCTCAAAGGCACCGTGAATCTAGGCTTTTGGTATCCCAAGCACTCAGGTTTTGACCTAGTCGGATACTCGGATGCTGACTTTGCTGGTTGCCGGATGGACCGCAAAAGTACATCGGGAGCTGTCCAGTTCTTGGGCGATAAGTTAGTCTGCTGGTCTTCCAAGAAACAGAACTGTGTGTCAACATCTACGGCCGAGGCAGAATACGTCGCGGCTGCTAGCTGTTGTTCACAAATATTATGGATGAAGACCCAGCTAAAGGACTACGGTTACACTCTCCGCCATATCCCGATCTACAGTGACTCACAGAGCGCCATCGCCATCACCAGCAACCCAGTTCATCACTCCCGCACCAAACACATCGACCTGCGCTATCATTTCATCAAGGATCACGTGGAGAAAGGAGATATTGACATGTATTTTGTAAACTCAGAGCTTCAACTGGCTGACTTGTTCAATAAGGCACTGGATGAAAAAAGATTCCAGTTCCTAGTCTCCAAGTTGGGCATGTTGAACCTCGAGCTCGCTTAACATTTGTCTCCACTGATCTGAAAAGTGTGTGTGTGTGGGACTTGTAAAAAGTGTGTGTGCGTGTGACTTGTAAATAAGTGTGTGTGTGTTGCATGTGTTGAGGGGGAGAAAACCAGAAAAATAACAAAAAATAGTGTGCGTGTGTTGCATGGGTTGAGTTTGTGTGAAAAATAAAAAAGAACAAAAAATAGTGTGTGTGCGTTGCATTTGTACATATTGTTCGTTGCATTTTTTGAGGGGGAGCTATTTTTCACTGATTAAGGGGGAGCTCTCTATTTTTTACTGATTTGGGCCTCGAAAATCTTTTAAAAGGGCACTGTGTGCCAACCCAATATTTCGGGCTAAATTGTTAAAGAGGAGGTCCAAAATCTTCTCGCATATATAAGCCCTCGTAAAACCTCTCATCCTTATGCTTCTCAAAATTTTTCGCAAAAGATCCGAACGTTTCGCATCTCAGAGCTCCTGCCGCCGTTTCTCCTTCTTCTTCTCCTCAGACCAATTTCACAAAACTCCATCTCCATTTACCATTAACAACTACCTAGGTAGTTCTTAGTTCGAAATCTCATTCATCAACATCCTTCGAATTCGACATCATTTATCTTCAAACTTCGTTCGAAAAAGATCATTCTCGCAAATCGATCAATTTTTTCAAAATCAACATAAAAAGGTTTTTGATTAGACTTTAGGTCGAAATCTTGTTATAATCGTTCTTGGTATATTGTTTCTATGTTTTTGCAGGTGGATTCTTCGTTTAGAAATCACGATTTCGAGATTTTTGGATCTCGAGATCGTCGGTTCAACTTCTCGAAATCAAGATCTCGAGATGGGCATCTCGACATCTTGATCTCGAGATTTGAATCTCGAAATCAAGATCTCGAGATCTGTATCTCGACATCTTGATCTCGAGATTTGAATCTCGAAATCAAGATCTCGAGATCTGCATCTCGACATCTTGATCTCGAGATTTGAATCTCGAAATCAAGATCTCGAGATCTACATTTTGACATCTTGATCTCGAGATTTGAATCTCGAAATCAAGATCTCGAGATTTGGACCTCGAAATCATGATCTCGAGATTCAAATCTCGAGATTTGGACTTAGAAATTTTTTCAAAACTCCATCTGCATAAACTTATCTGACAAACGCAAATCAAATTCTTTCAAAATCAAATCAAACAGTTGAACTTCATGTGCTGACCCCATGCTTCTACAGTTTAAAATGGCAGGAAACACAAGAGCACAGATCGATGATGCCATCTACTCTCAAGACAAATGGATCAAGGTGCTGGACAATAACTTCCAGTTAGACCTTGCAGTCTTCAAATGCCAGAACCCAATCGTTCCAGCCATCATGAAGGGTCACTATCTCTGGCCTGCACTTCACAACTCAAAACCGGTGCCAGAGATATACCTACAACAGTTCTGGGGGCACATGCATACAGAATCTCCAAAAGATCGCTAAAAAATAAAGACCAAGCTGAATGGCATGCGCGTGATACTGACGCCATCAACACTGCAATCTACATTAGCGCTGCCAGTCCGAGATACATATGATGCGCTGCCGTCCATTCCCGATCTACTGAAAGACATAGCATCACTAGGCTACACGTCTCTACTGCCACAACTGTCGAACTTCAACGGCGCGTATCTCAGTCACCCGTGGAAGAATCTCTTCGGGCTAGTGAACAAATGCTTGTCTCCAAAGCATGCTGGCTTCGACAAATGCAACAAGCAAATTCTGCTAGTTTTCCACGGGATTGCCTTCAACAAACAGTATGACTTGGCACAGCTCTTCTTCTCAGAGCTAATGGACCTGGTCAAGGCCAAAGAAAGGAATAGGCCAGGTACCATTCCGTACGCTAGGTGGCTTGGACTAATCATCAACGACTGCATGGCAGAGCACGCCTCCATACCTAGACGCAGTACAGATCCTCACTTCACAGCACCAAAGCTGCAATACTTCAAAGCGGACAAGAACCCGACCTACGGTCTGCGGATCCCTGGGTTTCTGCTCAACCTTGTAAGGTCTTCAAACCCAGCTGTTCAGCAGTACAAGGAAGCCACCGAGAAGACCGTCCCTATGGTTCAGCAAAACCCAGCTGGACCTACCCAAGGGACAAAGCCGAGTGTGAGTAAGGGTCCTAAGAGAGCCCAAAAGCCACAGAAACCAGTGGCCGGTTTGCCCAATGAAGGAAAGTCTGACGACTCTCTTGAGACGAGTCAGGCGGCTGAGGGCACCGAAAAAGACGCTGAGGAAACGGCCAATGAATCGTCCAGTGAAGCCCAAACAAACACTGACGACGAGGCTTCCGAGAGCGTGGGCACGGAGAGCGAAGAATCTGGCTCGGATGATGACGATGATGACAACAATAGTGATGATGTGGAGCTCACATATGCTCTGATCAGAAAAGGGAAGCCGCCCATCGAATTTCCGAAGAAGAGAAGAATTACTGCTGAAGACGCAGCACCAATCATAGCTCGTAGACCTCAAGTCTTCACTATCAAAGAAAAGGCTAAACCAAGAGCTGATCCGAGCGAGACAAATTGCTCCAAGGATGATTACGACGAGGCGGCTCATTCCATTAAGACATCAATCCACTCTGAAGAAGTCGTCATCCGAGAGACCAGGGCTAAGGTCAAAAATGACAAGGCTGGCAAGGCTAAGACCCAGCCCCAAGCCAGAAAAAGCCTGTTTGATAAGGCAGACGAGCACATCTTCTCGGGCTGCGACTCCTTTATCCAGATAAGCCGAGCCGAATCCCTAAGCACATGAGCCGATCTTTTCGGTTCCCGGGTAGAAGTCGCAGCATCTGGCTCAACTGCGCATGCACAACCCTCTCCCAGCCACTCGATAGCCTCTCAAAAGGCTATTGTTTCAAAAGAACGGGACTCAACCCCCTCGCTGGTTCCTTCTGAATCAGTTGAACTTACAATTGACCTATCTCCCGAGGTCAAAACCCCTTCTTCTCTCACATCGAGTCTAGGTGTCACATTCCTCACATTTTCTTCTTTTTCTAGGACACCTACACTATTCACTGCACATACAGGTGCACTCACCCTGAATGCAACAACCAGAGCGCAAGCTATGACGGTTGGAAGCCCTGCTACGCCCATAATGATTCCATCATTAAATGCAGGCCACACATCAGCAATCTTCACTGATGCTGTGTCAACGGTTACAACCCCCGTAACTGGTCACCCTACCTTTGAAGACGTAAACGTTCTACTGAATCGCTTCCTGGATTCCACCATTAAGCCATGGGTGCAAGATGCAATGACCGCTCTAGCACAGGAATTTAGGACCACCCAAGCGGTTCGGTCTGAACAAACACCACCCCAACCTTCCCCTGAACCGTTCATCTCCCATACACAACCCATATCCTCCACCCCTCTATCCCACCAATTCATAAACCAAATTCCTATCCCTTCTATTTCTCGGGGAACCCAGGATACAGAACCAGTATTCTCCCCACACCCGACCACACCCTCCATCGATCTCTCCCCCCTATCCTTTGACACACTAGCTTCGGCTTTGCTGAACAACCTCTTAAATACCCCAGAAGACAACCTCACTCTTCATCAGCAAGCCATACTTGAAACTCTTCTTTCTTCACCCGAAACCAAGAGTACTTGCAAGGAGAGTCTTCGTGGTCGCAAACGTTCCCATGAGGACCCCGATGATTCGGATCCTCATGAGGGGGAGAACAAGCGACCTCGATCACTTGAGCAAACTGCTCTACCAAGCCAAACTCCACAGCCAATTCAACCTGAAACCTCAACAAACCAACACCCATCATCCACAGCCAAACTATCTAGCATGGTTGAGCTAGAAATAACATCCCGAGGCGTATCTCCCAGAGATATCAACCGAGGAGGGGATGGAAGTCCTGATGATGTTACCACTGGTACATCTTCTCCATCAGGCCATCAGTTGGAACCCAGTTCTAAGATGATGTCAACGGGCAATCCTAGTGAACCCGGGAGTGCTACACAGGAACAATCACCGCCTGAACAAAGAATTCCATATATTTCCCCAGGAAAAGACATTCATGATGCACTGGAAGAGGCGGTGATATATGACAAATGGCCAAGGAAATGGACAGAATGGGATGATCTTCGGGTTGAAGCCGAACAAGAGGACATGCAAAAAAACTGGTGGCTACGAGAGCTAATCAACAAATGCTCTGAAGATATTATAAGGCTCGAGGACGATGAACGCAAGGAAGGGGAGAATTACAAAGAATCCCAGAAGACTCTTGAATCGGTTGTAAGACAAACAGCGGGAAGACTTCCCAAGACAGAGAAACCCTGGGATAATGTTCGTATCAAAGCCCCCTTCCAAGAAGAAATCAGAGAGCATATCTGGCGTAGACCAGACAGAGTCAAGCCACTGAATGAACTGAAGCTAAGAGGCCTTACTCACTTGAAAGGAAAGCAGGGTGGAGGTCATCTGCATATGTTGCTACAAAGGTCAACCGGTACACAGAGAGAACTGATGGAACAAGATCTGAAGTCGAATATTCTCCCGATTCATCAAATTCTGCAAGTGAAGGCTGAAGACTATCATGGAGTAACATTCTACACTTACAGACTTCAACGCACCGATGGGAGCGAATTTACTTGTCAAGAGAACGACTTCATCATGCTGAAACCGGATGACATCTACCAAATGTTCATGGCCTACAGATACCTTCCAGTCAGGCAGAGCATAATATACAGCGAAGGCCTCGCAGCTATCAAGAGATTCATGCTTAGACAAATCCGAGTACACTCTTCACATGACCTACAGATGGCTATTGAGTGCAATCTGAAGAAAACAAATCTGACAAAGCCAAGACTGTATGGTCCAGAACTTGAAGATTTCCCAGCCTACCACATCTTCTTCACACCGCCAGCAGTCACCTATCTGAACCACAAGAACGAAAAGCGTCTGATGGTAGTCAGTGAGATTCAGAAATACTGCGACGGAACACTGAAGATAATCAAAGAGCAGATTCTAAAGATGAAGGCAAAGCTAGAGGAAAATCTTCAAGAGGCATCGTCTTATGTTCAAAAGGAACACTCTACTGTAGAGACAATTTTAAAGGCCATTGACGATCGTCTCGAAAAGAGAAATGTGCTGAGGCTGTATGAACATGCACTTGGTATGAGAAGCACTACTTCAAGTCTCAGAAGCAATAAGAGAATGGCACTTGATCACAAAGGGGGAGATTGTTGGAGATATATTTAATTGTGAATCAAGTTGGTCATAGATTAGCTTTATATTTAATCCTTGTATTTAATTAGTGCATGAAATAGATAGAAATCAGGCCAAGTGTTAGGCCCATTTAAACAGGCTAAAAGCCTGGTACGCCTAACCTAAACCTCGCCTATAAAAAGGGAGCCGAGGTTTAGGAAAAGGCTGAACGTCGTACTTATTATTCATAGCCTTACGCATATCATTCTGCTGTACATTCCACGATTTATCAAAGAAGGTTTTACGGTGATTCATTCTGTGTTCATCTTTACGTTTAATCTTCCTTGTTAGATCGATTATTCATTGCTGTCACAGAAACAGGGACTAACAATTTCATTTTAAAGGGTTAGAAACTTGTATTCAATAACATTAGATTCTCGCTATAGTTCTTCTGTATTCTATTAGCTTAGAATAGAGGGTCGAGCTCGCTCTCAGTAAGGGTGTGCTGTAATTGCTCTAAGTTTTTTATAGAACTTAGCCCACTTTACATCCTACTCTTCTTGCTATTGTTTGTGCCTTCTTAATCATGTGGATAGCTCACTTAAAGATAAACGATCCACCAAA